CAAGAGTTTCTGTCTGAACAGTAATGAACTACCTGAAGCTGTTTCACTTTCCCATCCATTGCAGTTAGTTATATGCTCAATTTTTTATAGGTTACTGAAGCCATCTCCTGAAATAAGGAAATCACAGTCATTAGTTCAGTCCCATGAGTAACTGCTGATTAAAATCACAGTTTAGCCAAAGCCTATTGTCTTAATTTCAGCATCCTTGCTCAGGTTGAAATGTTTCTTTCTTCAGCTATCTTTATGGTCCTTATCAAACTCTCATCAAAAAGCATTTATGGGTTCTAAGCATAAATGAGTAATCCCAGTTAAATTTAAAAATTAAAATGTTTAAAGCTGATCCTAAAGAAAGCTGACCTCCTTGTTTATTCCTGTTCTACAGACTGTATCTCTCAATATCAAGCTGAGAATTATGGTGAGTTACATGGAATGCTTTTCATCTATATCTTCTTTTTTTTTGTCCAATTGAATCCTTTAGATCATTAAGCAAAATATGCTCCTTTGAGAGGCAGGTACTCTTTAGAAAGGTACTTAAGTGTTGGACAAAAGGCAGATTTCTTTTTAGAAGGCTACACACACACATTTTTTTACTCATTCTCTTTTCAAGTAAACCTGATTCAGCTGAAGCCACAGTCCTAGAATATCCATAGACCAGTTGACTGCATATGGCAAATGGTAGTTTTCCTGAAGTGCAATAGAATTTTTCCTGAAGTGCATCAGAATTTCAGTCAGGACTATTCATGTTTATTAAAGTACTTAGGTAAAGGAAAAAAGAAATATAACTACAGATGCCAATAGTTTTTATTTAAAGTCAAGGATGACTGAAAGTCCAAGGGCAGTCTGCAATTCAGTAAAAAGATTACTAAATCTGAGATATGAAAAGAGAGACAGGTTACTGGAATAGGAGGTGTTTTTCTTGGAAATGGTACAGTGTATGTGTTTGCCTATCTGTCTATTTATAACATGAAACATGACCCAAGCACATTTTTCCTGTGCAACATTTTATTAAGTGTTGCACGGCTTTTGAATACTTTAGCAATGGTGAAATACACTCAAAAGCTGCTTTATGAACTGACCCACTTCTCTCTCAAACTTGTCAAAACCCCTTTAGTAACAATAATGATAATTAATAAACCAGTTTATTCTTCCATCAGGTTTTGAACCTGAGTTGAAAAGAATGGTGGGGAGTAATTTTTCTTTCACTGAAAGTGCATTTCTGTAGCTCTCCGAGCTATTTTTTCAGAGTTTGATGCAGAAGCAGTGTCTGTTCAAAACTTTTGCTAAATTTATTTCTCAGTACATTTCTGAAGCATTCACTAGAGAAATGGGAGCTCTGATGTTCTTGTCTGTGACCATTTTACCACTCAAAGGTTATGGGAAAGAACACTAAAATGGGATAAAGAGCAACTGAATCTGCAATGAAATCAAAAGAATCTCCCTCAGTATAGCTGATTAAGTACAGCATCAGGCAGAAAGTTAAGTAAACATACAGTCTGAGAAAAAAAGAAGACCCTACACTGGGGAAAAGACTCCTTTGGTTCTTATAAAAAGAATTGCTATATGGCAGATCTAATTCTCTCAAGAACAGAACTTTGTTACAAACTGTGCTGCAATTTTTGTGCTCAACATTTGGAGCTTATCCTGTCAAGTAGAAAGTACAATGACATGCAGCATGAGAGAAACATTTCAGTTTCTATGACAAATGCCACTTGAACATAGGCTTTGCTTTTAATTTAATACATTGTAAACACACTAGGGGAAACCAGTTTTGATCATTTGCCAAATATTGCACAAGTATTTAGACTAATAAATAGCCTTCTATAACAGGAAGTGTACTGTATATTTTATGTGTTCCCACAATTTTTAAGAGAAGACTTATCCCTTCTGTTTCATAGATGTTTACAGAGAAAAAGACCCTAAACCAGAAAAAATAGCATATATTATTATCCAAAAAAAAATTTCAATCATCAGCTGAAGAATTAGGGAACATTAAGGGTACTTTATAAATAAAATTACATTTTAACTAGAGGATTTTACCCACTTAATAATCTTTCAGATCCCAGGTTAAAGCCTTGTCTTACTGAATAAAATGAGAAAAAATTAGATGTACAGTTAAGAAAATAATTGTAGGGTCTATAATCTCATTATTTTCATTGTGAAAATTACAAAGTAAGGCACATTCCAGCTGTAAGGAAAACCAACTGGTCTAATTTCCTATGCGAGCTTTACAATATGTGGATCAGACCTATGAATGTACATGGAACACTGTATTCTGTCTCATATTGCTGTTACATAAAATATGATATGGATGTAGAGCTAAGGGTTTTGTTTTCTAAACTTTGCACTGTACTCTCCTTTTCGTACCCAAAATGTCTCAGGAAGGAAGTGAGCCCAAACAACCTCTATGCCTTCCAGGCTTGACAAAACTCTCTTACTCACATTCCCTTACCTTTCATCTTGAAGGGCTGATAATATGGAAGAAGCAAAAATAATTCCAAACATGTGAAGAATGGTTCTACTTGTAACCCTCCAAATTGTGGGGAGGGGCGGGTGGATCTGGCAATGTAGGTGTGTGTGGTGCATATTAGATGAAGGAATGCATGGTTATCTTTATTTGGGTTTTCACTCAACAAAGATGTTCTGTGCTTAACAGAGGCAACTTCTGCTAAATTCTGCAGAAATTTGGTGTAACTTTGGGGAAGTTACAAAACAGTATGCAGACTGCTCAGCAAGTTCTTGGAATGCATTAGTAATAATGTTTTGGTGCAGAGAGTGAAGTATGCAGTAGTGAAGAGATTTAAAGTTTCATTCTCACCAAGAAGTTTGAGAATGTTGAGAGTGCAAAATAAAGGGACTATGGACCATGACATGAGGGCTGATTTACTTTTAAAAAAGATGGTGCAATATAACATGAAATCAGCAAACTGGGGGGAAAAAAGGCAGAAATCAGGACATCAAATCAAAGAAGTAGAAGTTTTAGTAAAACTGATAAAGCAGTGATACTAAGAACAGAAAGTAGGGAAATGTAGGAAGGGAGCAATTTGCTTAATGATGGATTTCACTGGCATCAAACATCAGCAACACACACCAAAGGTGGAAACTAGGTTCATGTATGTAAACAGATATGGAGATCTGAGGTAGAAAATGAGTGAAATACATCACCAGGAACAAGAACATCAGCACTGTAAGGCTGAGAACTGCTGCTCTGTTGCAAAAAAAATAAGAGAAAATAATGACAGATAATTCACAAAATTAATGGGTTTCATATTTTTTGATTAGTATTCTCTAACAACATTAAGATAAGCATGAGGTTAAGACAATATCTGTTCAGGACAGCATGAGAATAATTCACTGAGCTTGATACTTCCAAACTGGCAGCCACCAAGTATTTCACCTGTTAATACAACCCATTAATACAACTTCAAACTAATGACTGATGAAATCCTTGCTCAAACAATCATCTGAAGGTATCTCAGAATTTGTAGTAGCTTTTCTTGAGTACTGGGGTGAAACCCTAGGGAGAAAAAAAAATAGATTTCTTCTTTTAAAAATGGGAGGCACACTGAAATATTATGAATCAATCTACTTGCCAACACTACCAAGTTAGTGAGGAAATGGGTGAAAATGCACAGGAGTTGATAATGAACACATGAATCTCTCTTACTCTACTACAGCCCCTGATGGCTACAGAGAAGGGAAGAATATGACTATTGTAAGGGGTTTTTTTCTCACATGACAGATGCATACTAGGTCAGGGATGTGTGTTCAAGATGAAATTGCTAAGATGGGGATGGCAAAACGATGTACATGAAAACTTATGGTGAGTTACCAGTTTTTTAATCTAAACAAAACCTGGAGCAGATGGTATTTTTCAGTAGCCTGCACCTAGTTTCCTATGTCAAATATTTTCAGTAAAATTACAAATTGTAATAATGTACTTATAAAATTTGGAGACAATCTGAAGCCGTAGGAGACTGCGTAAAGTGAAAGAGGTTTAAGACTGAAAATGATGCGTGAAAGAGGTTTAAGACTGAAAATGATGAGGCAAAATTGGAAAAAAATTGGATATGCAAGTGAATGGATGATACTCAATAGTAAACACAAGACACTTTATTCAAACGAGTATGTTCAACTGCACAATTGTGTGATGAGCGTAAACTGCCTCACAAGCCTCCATGGCTGTGACCTGTGACTTGGCTCACCAGGTGATTATGAGTTAGTAAGTTCACGATGTTGGAAAAAAAGCATATTGGGACATACGAACAGGGAACAGTTTAAAAGATGTAGGAAAAAATTCAGCACTATTATGGTATGGGTTTTTTTCAGTTTTGGACAGTACTTTCAAAAAGAATACAAAGCAAAATCCAAACAATAGCAGAGAACCCAGAAGAGGGCCATGAAAAGCTTACCAAATGCAGGACATACACAAAAATCTGGGAAAACTAAGATTAATTAACATGAAAAAAAAAATAAAAAGATTAAGGAGTAATACAGACAACAATCCTCATGTACATGAAATGTTGCTGCGAAGACAAAGGTAATCAGTGTCTATTCATGATAAGATGGGAATGCTTCAACAAAAGCAAGAAAAGTTAGAACCGCTCAATAAGAACTCACATTAAGGATGTGTTGAAAAGTGCTGGACCAGATTATTTGTGAAGACTATGAATTCTCCCTTGCTGGACATATTTAAAGGCACCTTAGATAAGGATTTGTCAGGAAGTTAGTTTTTTGGAAAAGGAGATAGTCTGTTTCTTGAAGCTCCTTTAGACCAACCTTTGTGCAGTTCTGTAATCTGTCTTTGCCCTAATTGCTTATCTCAACTAACTTTCTCTGCCTCAGAATGAAAGTATAAAAATCAGTATTTGCAATGTACTCGGGAACAGTGCTAATCAGATAGCTGTTTTATAAGTACAATAAAGAATCAATGTTTAGATAATTTTCAAGGAACTCATGCAGTTATCTACAGCTAGACAAGCTATGTGTGACCCTACATGGGAAAACAGGCTCAGCTGTACCTGGATTTACCACTGCCAGCAATGTCATAGACTCACTCACTCACAGAATCACTGGACATCTCAGGCTGGAAGAGACACATAAGGATCATGGAGCCCAATTCCCTGTTCAACATAGAATTACATAAAAATAAATGTATGACCAAATTATATGTAGTAATGGAGATGCCATGGAAGTCAGTGGTATGTAGAAAAAGGACTATTCCCAGTCCTTACTAAGAGGGGCAAGATGGTTGTATTGTTGACTGTCTTACATAAAGTGTTAGCATTTTACTTTTATCCCCACCTCCTGTTCATCAATTCTTTTTTTTTTTTTTTTTTTTTTTTGCGTTTTTTTCTAAAAAGGTTTTGCTTTTTTTTTTTTTCCCCCCCCCCTTTTCTTAAAATTTTTTTTTTTTTTTTTTTTTTTTGCAGTTATTGCTACTGGTATAAATAAAAACTTACAGAATGAAATTTAGTATAATTGGATGGCATGCTATGTTTTATAGCATGTAAAAATACATATAGAGCCACTATGATTTGCTCTGGGTCTGACTTTGGGCAATACTGAAAATTTACTGGTCTCTTATAATACAAGAAAATGTCAAACAGTAGTTCAGCTATTTCTGCTCTCTGAATGCTTTTTGAATTGTAGCTCTATTCTAGAAATACATGTTTTTTATAATCACACTTATTGAAGGTAAGATTTAATTTATAAATTATTTTCATTACTTTTAAGACTTGTTATTACACTGTATCTGACTACTACCTAATGAAACACTTATCTCACCTCATCAATTTCTGTTTGAAATGTCAAATCATTGCTATTTTTTTTATTGTGTAAGAATTATATTAGTAAGAAAACCCAATCCCTTTAAAAAACTTTAGTCATTGGATGAAAATTTGCCTACAAATCTAAGAAGGAACTTCATTTACTTTAAAAATGCAGACAAACAGAAAGCTGTGATAACTCATATTTATAATGTGAAAAATCTGTACAGTCCAATGAAGATGTTTTTGAACCATTACTTAGGCTGTAGTAGTAGAAATACATAGGAATTACTTTGAAAAATACCATTGTTAAGACGTGGCATTTGTAATACCTTTGACTAGACATTAAGTTTTTATTTCTGACTCTTTTTCTTACTTTGAGTTCAGATAATGAATCACAGACACCAGCATCGAAAAAATCCAGTAAAGTCATATCTACCACCAATGCAAAAGGACATACTCTTCACTATTTTTCTAGGATAATCTAAAAATTGTCAAATTATTGGATTGTTCATATTGTAGAAATGCCCTTACTTGTTTTCATTGACATGAATCCAATTTCTCCTAACACAATTTAAATACTAGTTTTCTATTTCTGACTGTACCATCTACCACTGCAAACACAGATCTGTCTAGACTCAGTATCCTTCCTTGCTTTTATGAGTCACCTCCTCCCAGTTACCTTATTTTTTAAGGAACATGGGCTTCTCAGAGTGAGGAACTAGAAATTTCTAAAATTAAGACCTTTTTATGTACACAGATTAAAACAGTTAAAATCCAGTCACTTCCAAATGCAGGAGACTGGAACTGCATTATGTCTTTCTAGTAACACAGTTAATGAGAAAATACATCTAAATTAACTTCAAGGCAGGGGAAGCAAAAGAAATATACACAATTCAGATTAAAATGATACACAAAAACCTGAGAAAACTATTTTCCAAGAGTGAAATAAAGTAAAATCTTGCTCCTAATGTAGTCATAAGGGATACAGCCATTCAGTTCAGTGGTACCAGGATTTTTACTGTGTTAACACTTGAAACATATTAAATACTTTTAATTTCAGCTGAAAACACTGTGGAGGTTTTTTTACAATTATTTTTCAGATAGCTGAATGAATAAAAATGTTATCTTTTATGAATTATCCAACAATAATCCAGTTTCAGTTGTCTGATTTAAAACCCCAAATTAAAAAATTTGCAGTGTTTTGCAGTAAAAGTTTCCAATGTATATAAAAACTGAACATATATTCTTCCTGTTTAGTCAGTTAAAATACAGTGCTCTCTTTTTGTTTCTTTTGTCTTTTTTTTACTTCTCTTCCAATAATGTTTTGTTGTTTGTCTGCCAAGTCTTGTAAAAGGAATTACTTTCTTTGGAAATCTCTGGAAACTCCTACATTTATAAAAGAAAATAATTCAGTAGCATTACAGCATAACAAAAGTCATAACCAGCAATGTTAGGACATAACTGGGGAATTAAATCTGAGCACACTATGAAACCATTTAGAGGAAAAAAGCATTAGCAAAATGCATATAATTTTGCTTGTGTAATTTGTCATTAAGAAGAGAAAAACAAATAGGTCAGAGGTGAAAGTTCAATTTTATGAAAAGTTGTTCCTGTATCTTTAGTGCTTATTAGGAGGGAAAATTGCAGGTCTTGCAGTCAGTTTTGTCATTTTCCTGGGAGAGGATGAGAAATTTCCTCTCGCTTTGTAGCAAGTGTCTTGCAGCAGTTTTGGGAGTTGTTGAGATCAAGACTGCATTTATCCGCCATTTGGTCTCATGGAAACCTTGCTACTGTGATTCTTGCATACAAGGTATTCTTAGAGAGACAGAATAAAGAAAGGTCACCTACAAATTACCTGAGAAATTTTACATATCCTTTATCACTGACAAGCCCAGTGCTCCAGATAATTAATTGATCTTACCCCATATTGCTTGAAAACTTTTACAGGTGCGTTCGGACAACAGAAATTGAGAGTCAGAGTGAGTTTGCTAATTATTTTTCCTCCATCCTTAATGTCTCTCATATAGGTGGCTATGCCACCTTGCAGCAAAAGGTTTTTTGCCTTTTATGTCTAAGCTCAGGCAAATTTTTTAAGTGAGAACATGGCCTGAACTGATACTAATGGATCATACAATGTTATTCATATTATTTTGATAATCTTGGAAGAATGAATAACTTCTCACCTTAGAGCAGTTCTTTGTTCCAACAAGGGGAAAAAAAATGGTAAATGTGCACAGTCTGTACCTTGTTTTGGTCCTTATAGTCAATATATAGAAAATGTAGCTTTAAAAGTGCTTTCAAACATATTTAGCAGATATTTGCATGGGCTTAATTATTTCTGTGATACTGCCTCAATATTACCATATGGCACCACTTTTCTTTAAGACTCACTTGTGTTTTAACATGGTTTATTTCTAAATTTTAGGTCCTTCAAGATGGAAATACTACAACTTACCCTGTTTGCATGACTTTTGACAGAAGGATGAAAAGTCAGCAAAAGGCACATCCTTGGCACTCCAGTGATGTCACTGATGAAGTGTAGTACTCTGTAACAAGACATGGAGATGATAAAAGGGCTAGCTGGCATATCTTTCAAAATAATAAATTTCCTCCAAAAATCTCAGAAATTACTGGGCCATTTGGGTTTAAACTTAGACAAAGCCTGTGACAGGTATTCACCACACCAAATCTTAGTTTGAATGGCTACATTTATTACAAGAGTAAGCTGTTTCATAGTGTGTAAAGGGGGACAAATGTAGGCATCATTGGTGTACAGCATGAAATAGTTTTCTGCTTTTTCTCTTCAAATATGGAAAAGACACAGTGTGTCTGCATGAATAGCTCTGCGCCAAAGTCAGCCTCCAAGTAGTCAAATGTCTCTCATCTACTCTGCATCCCACACACAAGTGTGTGTGGGAATGCTTGTAAATTTAATGAAGTGCTGACTGAAAGAAGTTTATGCCTGGCATCCAATTAAATACTAATAAGATAAGCTTAGGCAGCATAAACTCCTTGTTATTATGAAGATGGATTATGTTAGCTATCAGCAACCTCTGACCTCTCAACTTTAAAACATTGCCAGTATTTTTTTTCAGTGGGACCCTCCATTGATTCTAGTGAGGTTTGGATTGGTGTCTTAGATGTGCAGCTGTTGCTATTACAGGCTAAGTATTCAAATACACACAAAACCAGTACCAGAAGTGGTTTATAAATTTATCTGGTAGAAAAATCTAACTCAGAGGTAGAACAGAAACAAGAGGATATCTAGTCCTTTTTCTTAGATCTCGCAGTCATATGTAGCTGGTGGTTCTCCATCTATTCAGATCAAATTGCACATTCCACCTGTCTCCTGGCTCCAATATTAGGCAAGATCTGGGCGTTTGTACCTTTTTTAGAAAAGGTACAGAACAAAAAGGGTCTACATTCTACATCTCCACCTGCACCCTTTACGAGGCCTGCCTGTACGACATATCTTTAATGTAAGCACATTGGCCTTTGTTACTCTGTACAAACATGACAGAAGTAACATGATAGAGAATATTTCAACACACAATTTTTAGGACACCTAGGTACACTGCTGGGCTCTACAGGCTTTTGGAACCTCCATGAAGAAAGGTAGACATTTTAAGACTGGGATAGCCAAAAAAGCAATGTAAGCAGCAAACAGTCTAAGCTAGCCAATAGGGAAATACTGAGGAAAAAAAAAAATATTTTAAATACTTTATCCTATCCACAAAGCTGTTTAGTCCTGTTATGAAGAAACAAATTGCTTTGCCACATACTGGGATTTGAACAAATATATTCAGAAGGCTGCAGCAATTCCTTAAATTTTTTTTTTTCAAAATTGCTGTCTTCAAATTGTTGCTAATTATCTGTTGCTTACCTTTGTTGCTAGTTTTCTATTAGTAAAATGTAACAGCTGGTTACATTCTATGGTGGGAATGAGAATGTAGCTCACTTGGTGCCACTGAGCATCTTGTAAGCACGTTTTTACTTGAAGACATACTGTATCTGACAAGTCTGACAGACCACATAACATAGCTAGTAAGAAGTTTCAGCCAACACATGTAATTGAAGACTTGGATACAGTAAAAATTACTAAAAAGACATGCAAAATTTGATGTCAGAGAAATGTCATTTTGGGAACATATCAACATTAATTTGAATAAATCTTTAAATGGTACTTCAATTAACTTTTCCAGTAATGAATAAAGAGTATATGCACCAACACCTACTTAAAATGCATTTATTTTTTAATCATTAACATTAAAAAATCCACTTATCATGCTCACTTCTTTTTCACTATTGTGTCTATTTTGTGTTCTTTTGTTTTGGTATGTGTAATAATTCAAGGTTGGTTATATGATTCACTTGTATATGTATTTTACACACAACTCTAAAAACAACACTCTGCATTTGAAAGAGAAATTTCCTCCAATAGACTTCAGTTATAAAATGCTTACTCTTTGTATATCCCTATGTACTTTTTCCTGTTAGCTCATTATCTAAGCTTTACTATTTGAATGATTTTCTTCTTTTCTAGTCAGTTTTTAAAAAAATATTTGATCATGCTCTGAAGTTCTAAGTGAATTTGGGACATCAATCACTTCCATGACAACAGACTGATGCTTTAAACACAGGATTATGATGAATCCGACACAGGATTGAGTAAAAGGGAAACAAGACCATGAGCAAGCAAGATTTCTTTAGACTCATTAGAGTCTAGATTTTATTAGATTTCATTAGACTGTTAAAAAAGTGGAGGAAGGAATATAAATGCTGAGTACACTTCCACTTTTTAGCATTAAAATTCTGTGTGATGGACCATACAGTGGTTATTTACTTCATATGCTTACAATATTTGATGTAACCTCTGTGGAACTCAGACATTGCCAAAAATTTCAGACACATTCACTAGTCTTATTTGTGTGTACTTAACTCAAAACATGGTGGTTTTTTCATGACTTGACACAGTGCTCCATAGGCTCAGCAGAGGTATTAGGCTCTCATCACCTCTGAAAAATCATACTGGGAACATTTCAGGCTTAACTTTGAAAAACTGGAACACAGGCAACTGTTTAGAAATCTAGTTGTAGATTAATTTGTCTTAGTAAGTTTTTGTTAAGAAATTCTACATGCTTAACATAATGAATCGAAAAAACACTTATTTTAAAAAATCTTTTTAGTTCAGCACAATCCAATTTACATAATGAGGGGAAAAAAAGGATCTGTCTTCTGTAAATGGCACTCTCTGTAGCTGAATTCTGTTGTTATGAAGCACCTTGAGTATAACGCAGATACACACATGGATGTAGATTTCTGTTGGGTCAAATTCCTACTCTTTGTTTTCCAGACTAAAGAGCTACAAGTTGCATAAGAAATATAAGTAAAAATCTCATTCCAGGGTCAAAGCAGACCTCAGTGGTTCCTCTTGTTCCAACCTCACCTTACAGTGCATACAATTGAAGCTATACTGACAAGGCTCATAGTAACACTGAAACAGAAGCTGTGCTGATATCAAAACTACAAGGAAAGCTACAAAAGTTTTATTCTGTGGTGAATTCTAAGTTTCTGTTCAGTGACTACTGGAAGTATTGTGTAGTCTTGCTCTGCTCAAGATGCATTAATTCAGAGAAGTATAACATGTTCCTTGTGAGTTTTGCTGGCAGAGGGTGCCCAGTTAAGTCAGCAGAAAGATGCCAAGGATATTCAATAACTCCATTGCAAAAAATATCAATATTAAGTCATAATTAGAGCCTGATTAATACATGGATTAAGAATTATATGTAGAACTGTCCCAAAATAGCCAATTGTATTATATATTCCAATTTTCACAGTTTACTAGCTCTTCTGAACATCTTGAGAACCTTTTTTTCACTAAAAAGTTTTAAAATACTATTTCAGAATATGGAAATGCCCCATTCTTGTTCATATTTTACTTCTTTCACCTATTGGTAGACTGCATCTTCCACAGGGTAATGGCATGTCTGAAAGACTTCAATGAGGAGGAAAACCACATTCTTAACTTTTTTTTCAGGTACACTGTTGAAACAGCACATATGCTGCAAAGTTTCTGAATGTTAGGGACCATTTTTGAAACAGAAGGCTGTGGGCAATATTAGTTTAACATACTGACCTAGTCTAGAAAATTTGGTTTATGTATTTTAAGTAATAGACATGTTATATTGTGTTCTGCTTAGCAGGTAAAACATACTTCATCACGAATAAAGGAACTTTATAATTTCACCTCCCAGACATAAAATGATATACACAAAAAGATACACTATCTTGAAAGAAAAAGTTAATTATGACTTTGCAAACAGGTGGTGGTTTTTTTTAAAATATATTTTCTTTAATTGATGCTTAATTTTAAAGAATTGCAAAAATTGATTCCTAGATGTGATCCTACTATTTACAGATCTACAAAAACAAATTCCTTATGGAATGCTGTAAGAAGCAGAGTGACACAGAGTCCCCAGGCAGGTGCAAAGAAGAGCTGCTTTATTTGCAAGAACCAGGCCTTTTTAAGCAATTAGCTGGTTATCAGTTTACATAGTTTTAAGGCACAACCAACCACCACACACCACGATGTGGACACAGGGCAGTCACCCAGCTCATCTCTCACATCTCTCTACCCCTATTCCAGCTGAGTCACTCTCCCCTAGTTCCCTTCTCCTTAGCCTAAGTAACAGGCCTGAGCCATGATTTTACAAGGGTAACAAGGCCCTTACTTTATAAGGCTTTACCTACATGCAACAGAATGCTAAGAAATTAGAAGTCTGAAAAATGATGCGTTGGAAGTGGCTGTTCACTGGCATTAGTGAATAACTCTGCATTGAGTCTGTGACCAGGCACATAAGTGCATGCTAGCCACCTAGTATTAATTTTTTTGTTTTTCATATACCAATTGCTAGGTTCATTGTTCTTGATCTTAAAGATCCTGCTTTCTTACATAGACAAGTAATTTACAATGGGTGATTAAATAGAAGAAAGGTTATGATGAATCCATTTTGACAAAGCAGAGTCCTTTGCTTATGTAGTTTCCCAATTAATCTATTCTTGAATCCATGTGAGATGTGAAGAACGTGATTATTTAACCTTTGCTCTGTCCTGGAAATTTGGGTCATAAAGTCATGCAGATTTTTTGTGACATTAGAATTCTATATAGGACTGAATATGCTTTCATTGAAAATGCTTATTCAACTTATCAGAGTATCTTAATAGGATCCATATGTAAAGAATAAAGAATGCAGGAAAATATAGTTAAGTCTAGAAGGTAAAAGGTAATTTAGTCTAATGAAAATGAAGAGAAGATCAAAGAAGGCTCCAGTATTTTCCCCATACAGTGTGAAAATCAATGTGAGGCATTCCTTAGAAAGAATACAATATATTCGGTAAAACTCTGCACAACATACTGTTAATCATAAAAGACTAAAAGAGAAAGGTAGTGAACACAAACACATTTTATATCATAAAATGTAAGCTTACAGATTACATTTTTAGAGTGATTTGTGCATAATGCATCATATATTTCAAGCAGTAGCTATGCAATTATCTTCTTTAAAAATGCTGCAGTTTTTAGCCAAAAAGTGAACAATACCTTAAACTTCATGTATTACCTATAGTACATTAACTGTAGTTGAGTTTTGTTTTTAAACACCCCCCCCAAAAAAAAAAAAAAAAAAAAAAAAAGAATTAGCTAAACAGAAAGGAAATGTAATAATGGTATTCAGAAATGTATCATACATCTTAACTCTTGGCCCACTCATGGAGAGTAATAAAGAATTACAACTAACAAAAACAAGCTAGGTAGTGTTTTTCATTTTTCTGTTACATTTTTTTACATTACTTAAGCATAAAACACCAGGTATCTCTTAGCTCCTCATAGTGAGCTGGCTTTCATGACAAATGTATTGCCTTCAAACAGAGCAGAGGTTCTTGGTAACTTCTCTTCACTAGAAATCACATTACATTGAGGACAGAAATATTAAAATATTTTTCATCTCCTCATTGTAATGGTGATAGAAATTTTTAATTTGTTGCATTGAGAGTTTACTCAAATGTCCTTTATTACTTTAATTAAAAAGCACTTAAACAAAATGTAATTCACATGAATTTCCCCTTTTATTTCACCAAACGCTTGCTTGAAAACCCCACTCTCTACATTTAGATGATGGTGATGGTACCATTTTGATGAAGATAGTATTTGTTTGTTGCAAAATACTTCTTTCTGTGGGCTAAGTTCTATAGAATGCCTAGTTCTATTTTATCCTTGATATCACAGATTTGACAATATTGTTTGACTGCCTCCTTAGCAGCAGCCTTTCACCACACATAAAAGCACCCCGATAAAATTGGGAAATCCATTTTCTACTAGAATTTCATGTCAAATACCTTAAATGTTGATTACATCAGTCGTGTTCTCCCTGGTTTCTGTGCTTCTTGTGCAGCTTTCACCGATCCATCTATATTAGGAGTGCTTGCCCTGCCTGTTGCCAAAGCAAAGATTCTCTCAGGCACAGTTAACATCACTGTTGGCGCTGGAGTTCTTCAGAAGGATACGGATAAGAAAAGGAAGTATTGCTTCAGACAAAGGTTTGCCTGATCATGAAGAAAACAAATTATTTTAACAATCTTAATAGAACGGGGTACATTCACTGTAAGAAAAGTATTCAATGATGTTAGAGTTAGTTTGCAGTTTGCCTGAACGCAGTTATTTAGCTGGCTCAGTAAATTTTCTGATGTGATGAACTATAAAAACAAGAGAAAGCTTTTTAAAAGCTTTGGTGAAAGGAGATGTATCAGCATGCACATATTTGGAAGTTGTACCCACATATACAACTTTTTAAGAATCTTCACTGTCTGTAAATTCTCTGTTTTCAGTATCTGTGTTTACGTCTAACTTCATAAAAACAAATACCTTTATTTCATGTCCTTTAGGGGTAAATTGTGCACCTTGCCTCAAAGTAAAGCATTCTATAAATTTTATTTAATAAATATCTGCTCAATTCCAGTTTCAAGTATCTAAAGGCCTCCCTAGGCTCTGATCTTCCACTATTACAGAGCTGTAGCCTTGTGGCTGCTAGTGCCAATTTACTCGTGGAAGAGGCCTTGCTCAGAGCGTTTGTGTTCCTGTAATTGTTTTAGCATTATGTCTTGTTTGTGATCTGAAGAGACTGGGCAGACAATTTTGGGAAGCAGGATTTTAAGAAGTCCCTGTAATTGGCCCATATATGCCATGCGCTTTTCCACTATATAATCCAATGCAGTTGTCTCTGTTTTCAAAATGAAGGAGCATATGCACAAATAAATGGGGCTGACAGTATTTAAAGCCAAAATCTGCTCTGTGCTCCAAGGCATGAGTGACACATAGGTAGAGTTCTTAATAACATGTGCTGGAGCTGGGTAACAAGTTCCAAGTAAGCAAGCTTGTAAGGATACCCAAGTAGATTTAGTAATTCCTGAAGAGAAAAAGTAAGTTGTAAAAACATCTTATATCTTGGCATTGCAGTCTTAAAGCTGCACTGAGAAGAAAGAAAATAGACAATGTAAGGAAACAGCTGCCTGCAAAACATATTGAATAGGCTCAGTGCCAAAAATGGAACATGCCATGTGTGCTATAAGCTTACTAATAATAAATACAGAACAAGGGTTATGTCTTTCTCATTATCAGTTTTAAAATATCAAAAAGGTTTTACAAAAAGTTAAAAATCAAGATTGGAAAGGCAAGTGTACTAACTGCATAACACAATAATCAGAAAAATCCTGCTGTTGATAAAAAGCAAATATGTGAAAACTAGAAGAGACAAATGCTTCTGGTGGGTGGTGTGAAATTGAAACAACCTTTGCAAACCAACTTTAGAGGATGGATAGCTGATCTCACTCTCAAATATCACAGTCCCTTTACAGAGGCAATTACTTTTCAATTTGCAAGACAGACAAAGGACTTTGTTTGAAAGGCCAAAATTGGGTGCTACATTTTTCCTCTAAAAAGTGTTCCCTTTTCACTCTACCCATTGACACTGATATTCTCATCCAGAGAAAATGAAAGCATTTGTTACACCTCACCTACATGCATCAAAGTAAGAAAATTAGAGCAACTTAGAACTAGGTGAGATTTCTTGCCCATATTCCTGGTTCATCGTACATACTGTCTGAACCCTTTCATTGTTCACATTAAAACTGCATATTATATAAATATACATGCAATTATTTTTCTGTCTCATTTCAAATGATTTATTAGCATTTTTAATAGCACTAGATCCGTAACTGAACATCCACAAGTAGTTTCACACTCTTTGGTTTTAGGCACTTAATTTAGATCTGAAGTTTAGAGACCACATGCTTCTGTCACACTAATTAACAGTGAGATTGTTCCTCCAGAAAATGACCCATGGCAGGTGCCATGCACCAACACATGCAGAATAGTATTATGAAGAAATGTTCTCTCCACAAACTACATAAACATTCTCTCAATTTCTGTACTTCTGCCCCACGCTGTGTAAATTGCAACAGTACTGTCCTGACCCCAAGTCCCAACCAACCCACTCCAGATTATATTATCAAACAAAGGCCATAATCAAGCTACAAATGGGGCTGCACATTTCACCTGCCAGTTTCAGTCCTGCACACTGTGAGAACCTGTAACCTGATGTAAATAAGCTTTCCAAGGCAACTTCAAACGTAACATTAATTAGGGTGAAGGACCTTCAAGTTTTTCCCCTTGCATTAGACGATGACTGAGGGACCGTACTAGAAGTTGCAGCTGAGTACAGAGAATTTGGTAAGCTAGTCTCCATCTACACTGATTCTACTTTCATTCATTGCTTCTGTGGACATAAGGGAGGCTGAATCAAGATTTATTATAATCAGTTTATTTCACCCATCACCAAATATCAATACTTGGATATCTGTGTGTACCAGCAATCAGGCTACCAAGTGTGATATGTTATTTAGGTCGTTACTTACAATTTTTTCCAGTTGCTCCATTTGTTATAATTAGGATATATCTTTAAATAATAATCTCCATGTCAACATATTTTACCTTTCATGTACTGCTATGACCCCAAAGCTGTGTTTTAGAAGTAAACTACAATGAAAAAATCGAGGACCAAGAGAATATGGAAAACTTTGCCTTCATCCGAGTCCTGAATTATGCTTGCATGTCAGGAAATGGGAGGAATTGAATACCCAGCATTACAAAATGCAGCGTAGTATTAAATAACAGCAATAAACCACACATATATGCATATCATATCATGCAGTTTTACACATTAATAGAGATGAAATAAACAGAAATTAAATTTTCTTTTCGCTTCTTACACAAAGAAAGTAAAATCAGACAGTGGCATGTAAAAGAAAATTGCATTTCCAAAATTCTTTGTTTTAAAAATGACTGGGTGTTTCTACAACAGAGATGAATCTGTTGGCTTGACTGCACTTATTGACCTCTGCTCAGAAACGTGTTCACTAGCTCTTCAGTCTGGGAGCCACTGCATATGACTAAATGTCTGCCTTCAGCTTCAAGGCAACATTACGATGTGGCAGTGAATTTAGTTCTGCTTTTAATGCCTTTTTATCTTCTGCATCTTCTAGAATAGTGCTATCTCTCTGTTTCTATTGATGTAATTCCATATGACGTTTCAAACTTCCTTCTCATAAACTAAAATGTTCTTCAACTGCAAACAAAATTTTTTTATTTCTTTCTACAGGAAGTCTTTGGCATACTGCGGGGTCTACTGGAAAAGGCTGTGAATCACAAGCTATCGCCCTGCTTAAATAGTAAAACATAATAAATGCAAGGCGATAGCCTGCCTATTCCTGCCCCCACAGGCACATTTGCCCTTCATGGTGCTCCTCACGAACAAATAGGACATTATTTTTAGACTTTCGCTTCTCCAGAAGGAAGGCATGGAGGAGCTGCTGAGCAACCACATGAAGGAATGCAGTAACTAGTTCTCCAAAACAACCACCAAAATGGCTCCATCTGAGCCTCTGCTCAGAAGCAGTACAGCTTTATTCCCCTAATATTAAATAACACTCAATTATGAAAATGGCAGGGGGTGGCTCAAAGGCACGTTTTCACTTCTCAAGGCCTAATTTGAAGGAAATAAAACTTGAAGAAGACAAACTTCACAGCTTTTAAGAGCCTCACTACTGACCTGCATTAACTACAGTTATAACAACCTTTGCCAGGTCTCGTGTAAGGAAACAAGACAAATTATTTTATATCTAATGCATGTTCCGGCTCAACTAAATTGTTATAGTATTAACACATGGATTGCTGAAGTTTCAACCATTTTGAAACAGGTCATAGCAGTCTTGAATCATGTGAATTTACAACAAAACATAGCAATTACCTCCTACCTCCATTGTTACTGCTTTTATTGTTTGACTTGTTTCATGCTGGTATGTCTGCTGGTGTGCATGGAGGGCAAAGCAGACACCATGGCAGTGTTGCTTAGAGACCTAAACTCAACTGTGAACACCAAGGCGTATTAATTTGATCCTTAGTTTTGCAACACAATGGTAATTCTGAGAGCCGCAAAACAGGAGGATGGCCAATCCAAGCAGTCTTTTATCGCAGCATACAGAACCATGTGCTACCTGGTTTCTGTTATTGACCACGGTTCCTTTCTTTGTTCAGTGCTGATGCCACAACCAGGTCTTGCCATGGCTGATGTGGGGGAAGAAGCAAGTGCTGCAGAGTTCATGAGTATTCATTCTGGTGCCACCATAACACAGCACAACAGAGCCTGAGCACGTTGCCTTTAGGGTGGGATGTTCTCAAGTTCACTGCAAATAAATGTGCTGCACAACTTCCAGCTGTATCACGGAGCCCTGATGAAACTAAACACTTGCTTTTACTGATGAGAAATTTGTCTACGCACCTGCATATTTCAAGGTCTGTGTGAGAATCACAGAATCATAGAATATCAAGAGGCTGGAATGGACTTTGAAGATCATCCTGTCCTAACCCACTTCCCATGCCGTAGGCAGAGAAATCTCCCACCAGACCGTGTTGCTCAAGGCCTTATTCAACTTCAGTGCTGCGAGGGCTGAGGCACCCACAGCTTCTCTGGGCAGTGTCTCATTCCAGCGTCTCATCCACTGCCATAGTGAAGGATTTCTTCCTAAAATCTCACTTAGATGAGACTTTCATCTCTTCATTCATACCCATTACTGCTTGTTCTATTTACTGCAGATCCTGATGAACTTCCCTTCAGATACTGGAAGGTTGCTATGAGGCGTCCACACAGCCTTCTCTTCTCCATCTCTTCACCAGGCTTCACCAGCCACAGCTCCCTCCACCTGTCTTTGTAGAGGAGGTGCTCCAGATCCCTTATCACCTTCATGGCCTCCTCGGAATTCATCAGTCTTTCTTCTGCTGGGGACCCCAGAGCTGGATGCAGTGTTCCAGGCGGGATCTCACCAGGACGGAGCGGAGGGACATTTAGATACCGCTCTGCTACCCACGCTGTTTTTGACGCGGCCCAGGACGGGGCTGTTTGTCTGTCAAGTTTCAGATCTCCCCTGACTGACGAGGCTCTTCCCCAGAGGGACGGGACCGAGCCGCCCTCCCCCCGCGGCCCCGGGCGGCGGCGGCGGCGCGGGAGGGGGAGGGGGGGAGCGGGGGAGCGGCGCCCCGTGCGTGCCGCAGCCGGTCACGTGGGCGGCGGGACCGGGGNCTCCGCCGCCCTCGGCCGCAGCGGCCACCGCGCGCCCCCGCTGCCGGGAGGCGTCGCCGCCGCCGCTCTCCCCTCGGCCGGGAGGAGCTACGGCTCCCAGGCGAAGGAAGAGGAGGAGCTGCGCGTCCGGTACCTGGATGATGAGCACAAAGGTAACGAGGGGAAGGCGGCTGTGCACCTGCTGTCCCGGTCTGGCCGGGGTGACCCTTGCGGGGCAGAGAGAGGGCGGCCCTGGGGGAGCTGCCCGGCGGCGAGAGGCGGGAAGAGAGCGGTGGCTCCTCCTTCTCCTTGCACCCGCGGCCGGGGTTGCGTCGCAGAGTGCTGGGAGCTGTCGGCATGGCATGGCGTGGCGTGGCAGTGGCAGAACTGGGTCGGCTTGGTTTTTCTTGGCTCTTCACTGCATCGTAGAACGGTTCGGGTTAGAAAGGACCTAGAATGGTTCTAACTCCTCCGCCATGGGCAGGGACACCTCGTACTACACCAGATTTGCTTAGAGCCCCATCCAGCCGGGCTTTGAACACGTCCAGGAATGGGGCATCCACAGCTTTGGTGGGCAACCTATTCCAGTGCCTCACCAGCCTCACAGTAAAGATTTTCCTCCTGTTAACTAATCTAGACCTGTTCTCTTTTAATTTGAGCCAATTCCACCTTCTCCTGTTGCTACATGCCCTTTCAGGTAGGTTCCCTTCAGGTACCGGAGGGCTGCGATTAGGTCACTTCAAAATCTTCTCATTTCTACACAGAACAGTTCTAATTCTGTCAGCCTTTCTTTGTAGGAGAGGTGTCCTGTTCTTATCATCTTGATGGCCTCTGGACTCACTCCCACAGTTCCATGTCCTTCCTGTGCTGGGCCCCCAGAGCTGGGTGCAGGGTTCCAGGTGGGCTCTCAGCAGAGCAGAGCAGAGGGGCAGAATCCCCTCCCTCCCCTGCTGCCCACGCTGCTTTGGATGCAGCCCAGGACACGTTTGGCTTTCTGGGCTGGGAGTGCCCATGGCTGGGTCATGTCCAGCCTCTCAGCCACCAGCACCCAAAATCCTACTCCCCAGGGCTGCTCTCCATCTGCTCATCCTCAGCCTGTGCTGGTACTGGGGATTGTCCTGACCCAGTTGAAGCACCTTGCACTTGGTCTTGTTAAAACTCATGAGATTCCCTTGGGCCCGCTTCATGAGCTTGTCTAGGTTGTTGAGGATGTCATCTCGTCCTTGAGGTGTGTCAACAGCATCACTCTTCTTTTCTAGAGTACTGCAGCATATGTACTGTGTTTGTGAGGTACATACACCTCTGTGAACTGGCATCTGTTTGCCACTCTAATTCTGAGAAAATGAAGTTTAGCAGCAAATGTCTAGAGTCATGCTGCTTCAGACATCAGTTTTGTGCTTGTGTGCAGGGGCCAGAGAGGGCAAAAAACTGATAGCCATATTTTCTGTGGTGGAAGGTATGGCTTCAGTATTCTCTCATCCCATGCCGCTCTCCTAATAATCATCTCATCCTCCTCCATGCTTTTAGTGTTGTCAGCTACTACTCACTTTTTTCTACTCGACTGTACCAAGAGTCTTATTTTAACTCACCTGTTTAAAAAAAGAAAGAAAATTTGTGCTCCTTAGTGACATGCAGCCAGTGCATCACAGCACAGACACTTTGTACTTCCTCTTCTGATGTGGTGCTCTCTGGATTTTGGAAGTGTTCCACTTCTTTTGGTGTTTGTCACTTCCTTCCCCTGTGGATGCAGCAGGGCTAGGAATGGTGGAGAAGAAGTAAGTGCAAACTCTGTTCCTGGTTTTATTTATTTAGCCATGATGTTATACCTGCTTTTATGGAGAGGGCCATAGTACAGGGTTTTGGTTATCTGCAGCACATGAGTCTCTTTACATGGAAAATATATCTTGGAACCACCATGTGTTGAGAGGTACAGTTTAGTTTGCATCTTTGAGCACATTAACTCAGCTATTTCACACCTACTGCCAATTTAGGCAAATGCCTGTCAGTTGAGTATGTATGCCTGTACATGGATTTGTATACATATACAGAGAGGTAACTTTAAAACTTTGAATTTTAGTATGAGCTTAGAAGATTATTTTTTCTTTTTCAAGAGAAAACTGATGTTGTGCTTTCATCTGAGGGGAGGTTTTTGTCATTATTTAGTAAAGATGATATAATCTGATCCTGAAATTATTTTCTGTCTTGTAGTTCTGTTCCCAAATCCTTCCAGTTCCTTTAAAATGTACTACTTTAGTCCCGTTTTTCCAGCTGACTGTGGAACTTGGAATTAGTTTAAAACAGCTCTTCAGATTGTTTCGGGATTATTTTAAGTTAAGGAAGAGAACAAGACAGGAGCAAAGAGGAGTTTGTAAAATCTTAGAAGAGTGTTTTTCCTTGCTTATTTTGTGCTTTACCAAGAAGTGGTAGAAAATATCACGATCTTACATACATTTACATATTTACATACTTAAAACTTTTATTTCTGTTACACAAGAAGCATAAAATTAGGCAGTGTGTTCCAGCTGTTGAATCAGCTAAGAATCATTGTTTTTGTAATGTTATGGAGGTATTTCATACTGAATATGTAGCCTAATGCCCCAAAACTTGGAGATATTTGTAATGTTAAAGCAGCTGTTGTTAGCATAAGGAAGGATTCAATCAGTGTACTTGTAATCAATGAATTCTCTTAAATGGAAGGGATTTTCTTTGATATTGTCTTTCAGAAGGACATAGAAACAAGCACTGTTTGTGAGAAAAAGATAAGAACAAGGATGTAGAAATAGGCCAGAAGGAGACATTAACTTTATATGCCTTCTTCAGCAGCACAAAGAGCAGGCAACATTTCGGCAGAAGAAACATGGCTCTGCTTCCTCCCTGTAGTGCTAGCACATGTCCTCCTCATCACCTTGTACACCAAGTTCATCTGTATTTGTCTGCTTACAGCATGTAATATCTCTGCTTAATGAGGACACTAGCTCTGTAAACACCCCTGTGGTCTTTTTTGCTCTTTGCTACCCTGCCATTCCTTGAGCTACCATTTCATGTTCTTGACTTCCCCACATGGTACTCTGGTACCCCTGTGGCCTCATCACACCATCCCATTACATACTTCTTGACTTCACGCACATTCAGACCCTGCTGTCTGACTACCTTTTGTGGCACACACATGCTTGTTGATGCTGTGCTTGTGCTCTTGCACATGCCTAGTGTTTCCATGTTGCTCAGGGAGGACTGTGAATACTGGGGAGGAAGGAAAACTGGCGGTACCTGCCTCATGTACAGGCACATGTTTTGTAGCACTAGACAAATCTTTGCCTTTCGGCAAAGTAACAAACTGTTCTGCTTCATATCACTTCCATGTGATTTGCATACCTCAGGTCTTGGGAGGTTGTTAAACATGAAGTAAAGTGAGGCTATGTTGGCAAAGGCTAGTTATTGAAATTTTAACTCAAGGCTTTCCAGCTTACAAGTTTGAAATTTGACCGGAACTAGAATACAAAAGGAGTGAGATTTTTGAAGAATGTGATTGAAAAATACCTGTATATTCTGCCCATGTTGCAACTTGTGAAGCTCTTAGTGTCAGTTTTCTGTGTATTGGTTTTTTTAAATTACGTATGTATATTTTACTTTATTTGAGATTCTATTTGATCATCAGTAGGGCTGAAATGTATTACAGCTATTGACATTTCAGAACTTAGTCAAATTGCATTAGTGATCTCATTACAAATTTAAATGACCCTAGTGCTTTGGATTTTTAAGTTATAGGTGTAATTGGGAGAAATATCTTTTTAGTCTTGACTCCAGTGTAGCAGTGCCACTTGCTGGAATGTGATATAAATATTTTTAAAATTTAGATTTTACACTAGAATGACTCCTTATGGTCAAATTTCCCAGCTGGGTTTGGTTCAGTTTAGAATAAGACAGCTTTTTGTCTTCATCAGTTAGAATTGTAATGTACATGGAATGGGCAAACCAAATACAGTCTTGGTTGAAGTTGTTTGCTCAGAGGTTGGAAAATGACATCTAGCTAATAAATTGGAAAAACATCCCGTTCATTTGCTATGTTTAAAGCAGGGCTGAGCAGGTGAGATCTACTAACTTAAGAAATGCAGAAAAGAGTTAAATCAGAATTTAGAGATGAAACAGGCTCAGATAGGGGATTTTGAAGAGTGTTGTGGTGCTTTTAAAAAGTGCTGGTTGGTACACATCTGTGTGATTTTTCACTTAAATACTTCTTGATAAGATGATTAATGAAAGCCACCAGAATTGTGCATGATGTATTCACCATATGTTCCTGTTTTGCTTGAGAACTACCTCAGAATAATAAACATCTAAGTCCACTTGTCTGCCTTGGTGTATCTGAGTAGTTAAGTAAAACAAGCTTAAAAATAACTTACTTTGATCCCCCTTCCACTTTTCAAAGCATAATTCAGACTTTTTAAAATATTTTTTTGATTATGGGAAATGACCTATGTGTGTGTATTTAATGGAAATAAATAATAAAATAAATACAAATAAAAATAATTCTGCAAGTACTTTATATGCAGATGTAGTGAATCTTTCAAACTCTGGCAAAATGTCTAATTTAAAGACAAGATCAATTTTTAACCATTTAAATGCGTTTCTACCAAACACTGAGGATGAATACTTTGATCTCTAAAATGTGCAAGATAAAAGAGATAAAAAACATTATTAAAATTAAGATCTCCTGTGTGCTAATACAAACAGTAGTTAAACCAGGATCTAATCTCTTCACTTTATTCAAGTATTAAATTTAGTGATTGCTATGAAACCAGGATGTTTCTGGGAATGTATGGATATTTTAAAGCTATCTTCCAGACACGTATGTGTCCTTATTTCGGTGAAAGACATCTCTTGCTTTTACTATGCTTTCATTTTATAATATAACTTTCATTTTTGTCATGTAACTTTTATAAGTTTCATTTCCTTTTTCTCTTAAACACTGAGAATTATACCACAAGCAGCTTTCTCTTTTGATAGGGGCGACTTGTAAGTAGAGAACATATTGTACATTTATGTATGCTTTGCCTCTAATGGTTGGCTAGGAAAGTAGTATACAGGAATATTGCTACTTATATTAGACAGCACTGGGAATCATCGTCTCTTGGAGAGCCTAGCCAGTTAAGATGAAGTTAGTTTTTGGTATGCAGATATATTTTTAATAGTTGCACATTGTGTGCTGAAGTGTGTCGCAGAAATAATGTGGGGATGACTCCCAGGAAAAACTATGACCTTAATATTTGGTTTAGCATTATGTGAGTGCTTATTCCTTCTTAGTAGATCTGTCACATGTTTGATACCATACAGATATATCAACAAAGCAGATACTACTACTAGTACTACTACTAGTACTACTAATTTCTACTTCTATTTATTAATGAATTAATTTATTATTATATATTTATTAATTTATTAACTTTATTATATATTTTCTTTCTCAAGTAGAGTTTTCAAACAGTTTATTTTAAAGTATTTTGGAAAGCACATATATTTGTGTATGCTTTAGGAAGAATGAACCATGATTAAATGCTTTAGATGACAATGTAACAGGTATTATTGAAAAGTCACCGCCCTCAGGTCAAGTCCCCCATAATTGGAAAACGGGAAACATTGTACCAATTTTTAAAAGGTACAGACAGCTAAAGCCTGGGAACTAGGGACCTGTGAGCCACGCATCGGTGCCTCCCCTCTGTGATGAACAGATCCTTCTAGAAGCTGTGCTGAGGGACTTGGAGGACAGGGAGGTGATTCAAGACAGACAGCATGGGTTCACCAAGGGCACGTCCTGCCTGACCAAGCCAGTGGCCTTGAATGATGGAGTTCACTCCATCAGTGGACAAGGGAATGGCTACAGATGTCATTTATCTGGACTTCTGGAAAGCCTTTTGCAGAGTTCCCCACAACACTCTTCTTTCTAAAGTGGAGAGAGATGGATTTGGTGGATGGACTGTTCAGTGGATGAGAAGTTGGTTGAATGGTGGCATCCAGAGTGTAGTGGTCAATGGCTCAGGATGCTGATGGACGTCAGTGACAAGCGGTGTGCCTCAGGGGTCTATACTGGGACCACTGTGATTTAGCATCTTCATTGATGATATAGATGAGGGGATTGAGTTTACCTTCAGCAGATTTTTATATGATACTAAGCTGAGTGGTGCAGTTGACACACTTGAAGGATATGATGCTATCCAAAGGGACCTGGACAAACTTGGGAAGTGGGTCCATGGGAATCTCATAAAATGTAACAAGACCAAGTGCAAGGTGCTGCACCTGGGTCAGAGTAACCTCAGGTATCGGCCCAGGCTGAGGATGAGCAGATGGAGAGCAGCCCTGGGGAGAAGGACTTGGGGGTGCTGGTGGCTGAGAGGCTGGACATGACCCAGCCATGGGCACTCCCAACCCAGAAAGCCAAACGTGTCCTGGGCTGCACCCAAAACAGCGTGGGCAGCAGGGGAGGGAGGGGATTCTGCCCCTCTGCTCTGCTCTGCTGAGAGCCCACCTGGAACCCTGCACCCAGCTCTGGGGGCCCAGCACAGGGAGGACATGGACCTGTTGGAGTGAGTCCAGAAGAGCCATGAATATGATTAGAGGGATGAAGTACCTTTCCTGTGTAAAAAGTCTGAGGGAATTGGAACTGTTCCTCCTTTGAGATAGCCTACTGTGACATTCCATATTCTAAAAGGAACCTGTAAGAAACATAGAGAAGGACTTTAAACTGGAAGAGAGCTGGTTTAGTTTAGATATTAGGAAGAGATTCTTTACTTTTAGGGACTGAAAGTAGTTGCCCAGAGAAGTTGGGGATACCCCATTCCTGGAGCTGTTCAAGGCCATGTTGGACAGGCCTCTGGATAACCTGGTTAGTGCAAGGTGTCCCTGCAGGAGGCTTGGAACTAAATGATCTTCAAGGTCCCTTCCATCCTCAGGATGCTCAGATCTTGTAGTAATGGCATACCAGAACTATAATGAATCAAATGTGACTGTAAGGCATGTCTTTTGTATATATATCGCTGCAATATGTAGGTATCCCTTGCAAACCTTTTATACTTTTCCTCTTGCAATTCTTGCTTCATATTTTTTTCATGCTTAAATGAAAACAACTGGGTGGGTGCTGTCTTTATCTTTTACTTTTGTAAAAGGAAGCAGAAATGGTAGTTTTATGACTTGATACGACACTGCTAAGCAAAAATTGACTTGTATGATTTGTCTTCAAGGATAATTCCTTTGTAGGAAAAAAATCTTTAAGGTACTTCAGTGTTAAGTGAAGCTTCCTTCTGAATACACTATTGGTGGTGGTGGAGTAGCAGTCTTTGGGCTCCAGTGCAGAGAAGAAAAATTCAAGTGTCATTAAGTGTTATTGCCATTAAGTATAACATGCTTCTGAAAAGGATGCTATATCCTGACTGAAGTATGGTTTGGTGCAATAACATCTCTAGTTTATTCAAGCATGGGATTTGTAGTGCCTGAAAATCAAAGTGAAATCAGGGTGAAGGGTTTTTTGTTGCTTTAACGTAGGATGATGCTTTTGCCTAATCTACTTGTGTTGAACATCTAGAATATTTGGAGTGATCCTCCTCCTGGAGAAGAAGTTGTAACAGTTGAAGAAAAGTGCTACAGCACCACTTGTTTTTGCTTAAGAGCATATAAACATATTCCTATGCAAATGCTGAGTAACGACCTTTGCAGGTGGTCCTGTATGAATATCTTCAGCCATAAGTATAAGCATGGGAATTCAGGCTTGTAGAACAGGGGAATGAAGGTCATTTGGGTTGACCTGGTTCCACTCCTCTTTAGGAGATATCTATACTTAACAATTGACTGTACCTTAAGAACAAGAAAGGCATGTGTGCTTTATTGCTGCATTTGACACTATTTTTATTTGAATCTTGACAGTGGTAGCTGGCAAATGGAAGACTTTGTCTTCAAATTGGTAACTGCAGAAGGAGCAGGAGCTCTTTTAAATCCTGTCTTGTCTGCATGTGTGTGCAACATACATGCAGGAGGAAGAAGAGGAAGGGAGCTCAGACACTAATGGGTCAGTCCTAAGTGAGGACAGGTTTTCCAGAAACAGAAGCAGTATGCACTGAGATGACAAGGAAGGCTACAAGAGCATAATTATGTATAGATTGTACATTCAAAGCTGACCGGTGAAGTAGTAATCACCTGGGCAAACACTAAGTTTCTGGAATTCTGTTTTTTCATATCACCTATGGGTTGGTGGCAATACTGTGGGCATTTTTGTTTGAGACAGAACTTCCTTTCTGCCTTTCATTCCTGGTCTTGCCCTAGTCCTTTTTTCCCCCTTATCCTTGCATTTTCTTCATAAAAGGTCCTGACTGAAAAAATGTTACCAGGACCAGATCGGGACTGTGTACTGGTGTTTTAAACTCAGGCAGCTTTGTGGGTTCAGGCAGTAATTGTCTAAAAGATTGCTATAGTTGTGGTAAACTTAGGCATTGCCAAAATAGACTTTTCAGAATTTTCCTCTTTGATATTAATGCCAGTTAAGGTGAGGGGAGCATAATAAAGACAATTTTTGTTTCTGCTGCAGCATTCAAACCAATGCACAGATAACCAGTCAGTTAGACAATTGACCGGTAACTGGACTAGGGGAGCTGTGAACGTGTCTTTGGAACCATGTACCAAGCATTGAACTTAATTTTTGTGTTTCAGGGAGAATTTTTGTTTGATTTTTTTCCTTTTTAAACAAAAATATCTTTTTCCTATTGGTGGCATTCTTTCTGTGTTTATTACTTCCTTTTACCTGTGTCAGAGTTGCTGGTCTTTGCTCTGATATGCTTTAAAAAGTCTCTGGAGATAGGCTCTCTAAATATGGAAATATGTGCTTTACAATTAAGCATCTTTCCTGACGGTGTGTCAGCACTTCATGTACAAACATGAAATTTTTGCGTGCAGTTGTGTAATTCTACATTCAACCTTTGTAAGCACTGTTTCCGCACGACAATGTTAGGGCCCTGTTTTGTTCTTAAAGTAAGTGTCATTTCTGTTGAGTATTGAAAAGAATAAAAATAATTTTATTTTCTTTCAGAAACTCAGTAGTGATTACACTAGCATTTTTTTTCAGTCCTTAATGCCTTTTGTATAATTTCAAAATAATAATAATTTATGTAGATGATACATATTTCACTACATTGTAACAATGATGTGATCTTTCTTCCTCTCCAGGAATTGTGGTGCTTGGATTAAACAGATCTCATGCCAAGAATGCACTTAGCAAAAACCTTGTAAAAATGGTAAGTGAAAAGAATAGTTTTTACTATAAAGGGGAAGTATTGGAATGAAGCACTTTAAAAAGTGTTTGGTGATTCCTCTTCCTCCTTTTCTCTGTAGATGTCAAAAGCTGTGGATGCTTTGAAATCTGATAAGAAAGTACGAACTGTTGTATTCCGGAGTGAAGTCCCGGGGATATTCTGTGCTGGTATGCAAACTTAATTTTCCTAAAAATCTGGAAATCCGTATTCTCTTATTGCACTAAAAAAGAAAAAAAAAAAAAAAGCCCAGATTCCAAGGAAACATGTCTTTTTCATATATTCATTTCAGTAACAAAGAAAACATAGTTAAATTATTGTCCTCAATTGCTAAAACAAATCAAATCTTGGGTTTATTTTTTCTGTGTCATAAAGTATTTCAAAATATATACTAGTTTAACCATGATAGTAAAAAAACATTTAATTGATCTAGAAACTCTTGCAAGTATGTCAGAATAAGGTGCAAATAATTTGAGGCCGTATGAAGAGGCTTTGTTGAAAGCTGTATCAAACCTTTCTTTTAAATGCATTAACTTGAACTTTTAATTAAAGAAACATATGTAAACTTAAAATTTCATTATGAATATGCATGTTACTGCAGGCTGAATGTATTCTCAAATTAAAAACAAATCAAAACAAAAAGGACACACCGCAGCCCACATATCCAACAGTACATGCATCTTGCCAAAATGCTCCGAAAAGCAAGAGCTCTCAGCTACCAGCTGGGAAACAGAATTTGCTGACATGTCAAGATCAATTCATACAGCAGTATCTTTTATGAATATCAAGTGAATTATCTTATTTAAAAATGTTTCAACCAGTTCTTACTGTATTCAAATTTAATTTACATCCATTTGAAATGGAAAACAGCAGTAAAACAGTTTGCTCTAATACTTTAATAGAACTGTCAAGAAAGAGATCAGTTCTGAAATTTTATTTTTCTGATCATTTGTGTAGTTGTCGTTCTTGATAACCCCAAATAACATAATTAATTTACTTTTAAATGCAAAATAGTTTTTCCAATTTTTAAATATGTAACATACCTAAACACTTTTAGTTAAGTTTAAAATTCTTCTTGTGGCTTTTAGTAAGGCTGTTTTCATGCTGATACAGTTTGCACTTAAAAGACTTGTGGAAATAATTGTCTTGGAAAAAAGGGAATAATCAATTCAGTGCTTAGTAATACATATAAATAGGTTAAATATGTATGTGTTAATCAGCATATGTAATTTAAAGGTTGTATCTTGTTTTAAATCAAGAAGTTTTAAATTTTAGTCATCTCAGGAAAAAAACATGTTGTTTTTAAACTGATGAAGAATGAAGCATCAGAGCAACATGTGAAAATGGTGTTTCAAGTTAAATGTTATGTACTTGAAATAAAAAGATGGCTGTTGGAGTTTTTAATGATTTTTTTTTTTACATTCTTGAATTTTGTAATAGTGATATATTGGAAATAGGAAAGCAGAAATACTGATTTTGAGGGAGAGTATCTCAGGTATGCTACTATTATTGTACTTATGAGCTCCAAGTATTCTCCAGTGTTCTTTGTTAGCTGTCTTTTCTGAGCTGTTTTGGTATAAAGATTTAACGTACTCATTGCTGCTTGTTTGTCTGGCTTAGAAAACGAAGCAATTCAGAATATGTATTAAGAAATAAAAACAGAGAAGACACCAGGACATTAGGAAGGAAAATTAGTCCTGAAAAGAAGACTGTGAAAGACAAGGGCTGGGTAGCTATATTGGGATCTTAACCCAGGGAGTAGAGACAGGGTGTCTCTAGGTGTCTCTAATTTTAAAAAAGCGATGGGTAAAACAAGTGTCCTAAGAAAGGAGATTCCTCTAGCTGAACAAGTGAATAAATGATGTTCCAACAGTGGTGACTGAAATTTAGAATGAAACAGAATACCTGAGGCAGAGTTTGTTACTGGAAATAGATGAAAATTGCACAGTGGGTGGATGGATTGCTTCAGTAGGTGACTTTAATGGGTGTCTCTAAAGAGAACGATAATAGAGGAAGCATAGTGAGATCTGGAAACAACAGGCTAATAGCTTAGGGAAGTAAGATGAGGAGAGGAACATATTGGATGTAAGAAGGCAGTTTCTGGAGGGGACTCAGGAAATTCAGTAGAACAGAAGAGTTTTCAAACTTAAATGTTAAAGGAGAATATGTTACTTCAAGAACATTTAATTTCCTTAAAAAATGGAAGGATCATCTTGTGAGATGTCACATTTTCTTTTGCCTTATAGTGCTATTCAGTTAGGCTAAACCTGGAATTTTATGTTTTTTTTTGTATTTCCTCAATAATGTTTTCTTGCTAACATGTGTGGGAATGTATGTTTTTCAAAATACACTTTTATGATTATTTTTTGGACCACCATCTGATGTTTTACAGACCTCTTATTGAGAAACTTTGTCCTAGAATGTAGTTCCCTTTTATGTGAGGAATGAAGTCCAAGATCATTAAATCCTGCCATTCCTTAGCTATCAACACATATCTGTGAAAGCCACAAGCCAAGTGTCTTGTTTCCTTCTAAGGCCTAGTCCACAAAACATGACATCCAACCATTTTTCTCAAAGTAGCAGTGTGGATGATTAAAATATTTAAACTCTTTTGATGTCTGATGCAGATTTGGGTATGATTTCAAATTATGGTATTTTCGCATGGTGAAATCAGAGTGGGACAAAAATGGAATTGTATAAAAAAATGTAGAGATGTGCCAGAAATCACATCCTTTCATTCCTGCATAAAAAAATCACTTTAAGTCTTTACCTATCTTTTTTTGTGTCTCCTTTTTAATACTTTGTGCATCCATGTATGCAGAAAGCTCCTCATTAATGCTCTAGGACTGATCAAAGGGATGCCCAGAAATCAAAGCCTTGCATGTCTGGGGTTAAGGGTATCTATGATTATGCATAGGCTATGTCTTTGAGTAATTATGTCTGTAAGGGCTTCTTGTGCTTCCATTAGAAATGCTCTGTCACTGAGTCACTTCTTGGCTCCTTTCTTTCTACATCTGAAATCAAATTAAGTATTGGTCTTTCTGGAGTGAACATGTATGACCAGTCCTGGCCTATGTAAGCTGAGGCTGTGTACTTGCACCGTTCTGCAGCCAAAGTAGGTGAGTCTGTAAAGGAGTCTTTTTATTTCCTGACAGTGTTCCATTCTTGAGGAAGGCATAGGCTTATGCATGGAATAAGGCAGGTGTCCCATGGGTAAAATGTCTGTGATCAAGTAATCGTGGGCTGTGCTGTGTTGACACAAAGGGCCAAATTACATTCACATGTAATTTGATTTTTCTTTATTAATAAAATACATCTTGATTTTTCTTCATTAATATAATTTTAACATTTGTATATTAGTGATATTGCTGAGGTGCTTTTTGTGAGCAGATTTTTAGGCTTTTTTAATCTTCAAAATATTTCTAGAAGTAAGTCTGCATAATAGTGTTGGATGGTACAGTACTGTGCGGAAGAGAGGAGGCAGTATCCACAAGTTGTTGCAAAATCTAATTTTGTGTTGATGTATTTGCAGAATGGATAAGATTGGAAGACACTTCAGTGAGGTCATCTAGTCCAACCTCACTGCTCAATCAGAGTCATTCTGGAGACAGTTTTAGAGCTTCTTCTGATTTTAACTACATGAGGTCAAAAAAAAAAAAGTACAAATAAAATACTTTGTTTAAAAGCAGTTTTTCCAGTTTTCAGAGAGTATTGGAGAATGGCTTTGGTCTGGAGAATTGAACCAGCTAATATTGCACCTTAAAGCTTTTGTTGTTTTGTTGTTTTCTAAGGCTGTGAATAGAAGCTGAGATAATATTTATAAAACTTGTAGTTATTGTAGAATTTTACCTTTGGATGTGTTTTGGCTGAAGCTGAAGACTGCTGCATGGTTCTAAGTCTCATGTTTTCTTCTGTTTTTTCCCATCTCACCCACTCTTAAGAGTATGTTTGATGATGTGAAATAGGGATTATGCTATGTTTTGAAATTTAAAACTATGGGATCAAGTAATAATCTTACCTTTTAAACAATTTTATGTGTTGATGGTTATAGTGATTAAAGAAACAGGTACTGGTTATATTCTTTTCCTTCTACCTGTTTGCTTGCTGTTCCTTTGTATTGTTGTTTTTCTTGGTTATGTCATGTTCCTCCATTCCTCTTTTCATGTCCAGTCAAGAAAGCATTAAAAAAACCACATTCTTCCTGTATTTGTCTCATTGGCCCATAGTTCATTAGTTCAATTTACAGCTCATGCTAATAAATAAAATCCCTTTACCATTCAAAGTAGTTTTACCATTCAGAGTAGTACCTCTGGTGCCTGAACAACCAGGACAGTTGCTTAACTCTTACTGTCCAAGTCCAGTCAGAGATTATTTATCTTAAAAATCCACATATGAGTTGTTGTCAGTTTCTCTGCATCCATCTGTTCTCTGTTGATATGCAGAAAAAAATCCTACTATCTCATAAAGGAGAAAAGGACTAGAGGAACATGCTGGTTCTGGATTTTGATTTCCCTGGGAGAGTTAGGAGAGCTTTCTGTTTAACGTGTAACTTCTTGAGACTTTTGTGGTGACTGTGTTTAGAGTATAAGTATTTAGAACTGTCTCTCTTCAGGATTGTTTTTTCAAAGTGAACTGGACTATATGAAATAGATGTTGTGAAGTTGATGGGTTATTTGCTTTGTATATGTGTGCATGCAAAGAGAGCAAGCTTTGGAACAATTTTTACTTGACTTATTTGAAAAATGTTCTTTGGAGACCTTATTTCAAAAATCTTTGAGACATACCAGAATATAGACAGTTAACTTTTTGCTGTTGTTGTAACAGGCTTTCAAGACAGTTTGAAAAATTCTGGTATTTGAGCTCTTTAAACCACTTTGACCTAAAAGTTACTGCAGCTTGGCCAATAAAGTCCCTTCTTGGAAAAGCAGAAGAAATCTCTGTGCCAGAAAAAAATTCTCCATTTGAATTTGTGGTATGAGTAAAGCCAACCCAAATGCTTTTCCTGTTGGCATAATTTGTCTGCATCAAAATTTTGTTTCTATCAGAGTTGAAATGGCTATATGGAGTTTAATTCCCGGCTGCTACTTCCAGCTGGTGCAGTTTTTCTGGCAGCAGTTTATGAAGCAGACAAGCCTGGTAGAGCAGATCCGTGAAGACTTCTTTGTTTATG